ATGTATCTTTATCATCAAAGATGTCTCATCACTCCATGTGCATTACACGAATTCGAAAGGTCACTTGCTTTGTAATATACAAACATAATTCTACGATACACGACTGACAACTTTGTTAAATACATTAATTTTTAAGACACGATCGAAATGTCCTTTAAGACACGTGGAAATTTTATTATAACATACAGAGAGTGATATATTTTGAAAACCTACCTTGGTTGAAACACCTTCCTCGTACTCCAACTCCAGCCCTGCTTCCTTCAAATTCGCCTCGAAAACTCTTCTTTTCTCGGCATTGTCRTCTTCCGTTTTCTGGTCGTCTTCATCTAGCTTGGAATCGTCGGCTGGAGTCTCATAAACAAGRACGTAATCTATTAGTCGTTCGCCATCTCTAAATCTCAGACGCTCTTTGCGACTGCTAGTAAGACTAGTTTTTTCTAATTCAATTTCAATAGCTTGTTGTTCCATCAGTTCGTGTTTACTRAGTATTGCTTCTTCGTCTAGCAGGGGAACGTCATCAGCAAAAGTMTGTGGCCTTGTCAGACCGTTRTYGGTRCTGTCCTTTTCKTCCACCAAGGCTCCAGAAACCCTAGCCCTCAACTCGGTTGGCTGTGGGTGTGCCATCACAGCCGCTGTGGTTAATTATTAACTTTGAATTTCAATATCAATAAGACTCCTAGACTTGCTTTCTTGAGGACTGTTTGTTAGACGAAGAAGACGAACATGTGAGCTGTGTGAAGTCAGTTGTGACCTAATGTGTCAATGTACGGACTTGAACCGGTCAAAACAAAGAATTTCAAATTCTCGTGCTGGTATTTTTGCATGTACAATATAATAAACTGGACAGCTGACTCCTTGGGACTTAAAATTCTTGGCTTTTAAAGGATTAAGCAAAAATTAAAAAAAAGAAAACGAGAATGATAGCGGCATTTTATTGTTGGTAACCACTGTTTCAGCTTATTATTCAATTTTGACAATTTTATGTCACGTCACGCAATCTCTRCAAGATTGCATGACGTAAATTAGTAAAATCTGAAACAAAGGACTCAGGATGGTGGACTTTTTTCACTAGAAACAATTATCGACTATTACATTTTGTATTTCATTTAGTTTTTTTTTTTACATAAATAATATATAAAAATATCTACTTATCAAAACAAGCTAGAAAAAATGACTATTTACAAACGATTTTCTACTACTATACAGTCCTGGATGAAGACTACTGTGATGGTGTTACAGCATAACCTTGTTTTTGTTTACATGCGGCGTGCTGACACGTGCGTGCACGCCCTTGAATTGYTCGAAAGTTMATGTGCAATTCTAGAATTTACTGTTCATTCGTATCAAGTTTGTCTAGAAACTCTCTCAATCTTTCAAATGCTTTTTCGCTGGATTCAGGTATGAGGTTGTTTTCTGTGATATCTTCAAAGCGGCATTCTTGATTTGTTTTCATATTGTGATTTACGTCCTTTAGTAAGAGTTTAATCTGATCGACAGCATAACAGTCCTTCCTCGGGGGAGGCAAAGGATCTTTTATGAGCTCAAGATTTTCGTCATCCAAGATTTTGTCTGTTTCTTCTTCTTCCTCCTCTTCTTCGTCATCATCACTTTCGCAGATAATTGGCATCGGAATGACTTCGGTCTTTGATTGCTTTGTTCCATCGCCCACTTCCGCATACATCGCTTCTTCTTCGGTTCCCTCCGTGATTTCTTCGGATAATGATGATCGTTTCTTTTGAACTGTAGCGTACATATCTGGGGCTTTAGGGGTGTCTATTGGTGGTCCTCCGACTATGCCATAGGATCCTTGCTCAGACACATTAGTTGTAGGATTAGTCTTTACAGGGCTCACAGTATCATAAAAATCACCCTGTTGATCACCAACCGACCCATATGTACCCATAGWCGACCCCATAGGAACATTGCTTTTACTTGCACTCGTGACTTGGTCGTACAGATTATCATCGATGGTTGCTTGGTCGCTGCTACTCGAGTTCCTATTTGACACTACTTCGTATCCSGAGTCTTCTTCGGAAGAAGCGCGAACACTGCCGGGAAATAATGCAGGTATTCAGTAATGTGATATATATGGACTATGTTAGAAGCTAGGATGCTCGACTAATATTAAGCGCTATACCTGGATTTCCCTCTCCTGTTGTTAAAGCTTTCAATCTGCATTGCTTGGCGCAGAACGCTAATCCATTCAGTCATAAGCTGTGGAGTAGCAGCCGTCTGGAAGACGAAAAGAATATCCTGAATTAACCTGTAATTTACCTCAAAAACTCAGAGATAGTGATGATGTCAATAATGAATATGACAGCCATAAATATGATACTGATGAATATGATAAAATGCATATTGATTACAATGATTACAATCAGTGTTATCTAGAATACACATACAGAGATTATTTTGTCATTGTAAAATGATCTCACAGTATCAATCTAATGCTAATATTGATGATCTCATATCGTACTTACAAAGGTATATGTTCTCATACTAGTAATTATCTGGAAAGCATTGTTATTTATCATTTTGAAAGGGACGACAGATTTGACCTAATAAAAAGGAAGAAAATATTAATACTGAATATTATTAATTTTACAAAACCAGAAAGTCTGAGACGACAAATGATGATGATGATGATGATATAAGTACCAGGAGTGATGATGCTGATGACTGCACACACCGCGTGATTTATACTCACGACTTACTTTGGTAAGATCAATAATTCCAAGTAGATTCTCTGGCTAAAAACAAAGCAAACAAATAAATAAAATAAATAATAACAATAAACAAAATAAGTAAAAATTATTATAAAGACATCGGAGCATGCATCATGAAGTGATCAGTGTTCGATCAAAACCCTGCTATGTATCGCCTTCAGGGAGGTAAGAGCGACGACGAGAAAGCTTTAAAAGGTACATCTCTACGAGGGCGTAAGAAAGTCCTTTTGATAGCGATCTATGATTACCATAATTGCCACTTGAACAGTCTGATTAACATACCGTTGTTTGGGGTGCTTTGTAGTATGACAAGTTCTTTCCATCCARAATAAACCATCTTTTTCTAAAACCCTTAAGATTGTAAAACTCTGTTATCTAATATTATTTTCTCAGTAACTAGCTAAACTGTCCTTGATCTTAATCATGTTTTCTTTACGAAATGTAAATACAATTGATATTGACATTATAATTAAGTTTGTTAAATAAAATACATTTCGACGGGACATGTTGGCCCTAAAATCARCCAGGATTATTAAAACATTAACTAGAACAATTTAGAAACGTTCACAGGAAACGATTGTACAACTRATTCCGACTAATTGCTTTCGAGTAAGAGGTAATCTAAAGCGTTTCATTGCAAGCCGAGAAAATGTTGTGCAAGTTTCCCTTGAAGACCTGTGTTTAATACGAATATTTTGCATTTCYCACAMAAGCAATTGAATTTTMGAGATACGTACAACACAACGACGTCGGTGCCATGATGTTCAGTAGTAGCAAATCAATTATTATGCATTCTATGTTTTTCTTTAAATACTGATACCTCAAAAAATCTCTTGCCTGCTTTCTCTAAKACCCCCTCGTAATGTAATTTCTGGCCGTCAACTGCCATCGTCGWATCTTTGTGTAGTTAATAGTAAATAGAATTAGTGACGATGCGAGAGAAACTCTAATCCTTGTCTGAACTACCGATAAATTTATAAACACGGAAATATCGGACACTGAAACATAACTAGTTCCAGGACCACTCTTTGAWACTATTGTGTATTCCGTTCCGGGTSAGTTGGCGGCAATACACATGACAGTTCTTCCCTATATGTACATGTATATTTCTACGAAATTAAACCATAGTACCCTATTCTTATGAAGGGGYATCAATAGCTTCAGCTTTGGTGCAAACGCTATCACATGCAATCATCTTTATTAAACTACTTCCGGTCAGGAAATGAAGCAGTCAGTCGTTGAAGGAGCACTGTCACGAACTGAGCATGACTATAAAATATTGTATCAAGCATTAAATTAGAAATACTTGACATCTGGTAATACTTTKTAGCTTGTCGTCTCAGTTGTTGACAATTAAAGTGAAGTAAGAATTGAAATAATAACAACATTTGTTCCTAATTGCTGTTTATTTKCCCATAAAGAATAACAACCCTGATTATCAATACCAAATACCATAGTGGTATACTAAAATACATTACTATTATAATTTACTACAGTTTAATTCATGAGATAGTATTAGGAGACCTTTATTGTTGACCTTTGATTCAACAGGAGTATYAGATACTAACAAGTAGTGTTTTGCTGGTGCAACAGCTCTATAATACACTCTATCCAATGATTATCTAGTAGTAATCAGTGCGTCACAAGTTAGAGTGACGCTATTAAACATATCAGAATGCAACCATTCCATAAGCTGCATACTGTCTAACTGAGCTTTATGCATCAAACAAACTAACAGAGAGGGTTAGTCACTGGTACCCAAGTACCCAAGACATTTTATACAACTTGAATACTAGATCTTGCTTCATAGTCTTATTACCCTTACCTCAGGTAAGCTCATATACATTAGATAGTTTTCTTGATGAGATGAATTTTTGAAAAATGAAATACAAATACATAGTCCCAACAAAAACAGCACTTTAAAATGTGTCGCGCTGGGTCAGTTTTGTTTATGAGAGATTTACTTGTAGAATTATACAATAACAAACAAATATATATGCAAATACAACAGCAGTAACCTTAACACCATTAACTGATGTCACTTTTACGGCTCACAAATGTCCTGTATATAAAATAGACCATTTTAAAATCAGTACTTTTACAACTTTCCACCCCAGACTTGAAGCATTATGCATTAATTAAGCTTTATTTAATTTCAGAGCTTCCTAAAATCAGTCATATTTCAGGGTTTTTTTACACTAAAAGTAGTTAAAGTAACTGGATATTCTTTAATCTATTTTTTGTTTAAAAATCAAGAAAAATAAATGTTCTTATCACATAAATTATTGTTGAAATTGATCATGAAACATTAACTTCTATTTATTATTTTAAATATTTTATCTACCTCTATACATAGTTCAAAATAATTACCATCCACTATTGAACAGTTCTATTACAAAAATGCATCAGAATACCTTCGTTTTAGCTTGTATTTCCAATAAAATATAAAACACYGAAGCTTATCAGAAAGTTTAAAACAAATGCAAAATATAAGTACACAAGAACTGAGTTTCTTATAATATAGTACGTTACAGATATAATCCTTCCAAGATGTSAAAATTGTACAATTAACATTGTTAATTATGATTTATGACATTAAGTATTATTAGCATCGTTACCAACACTACTATTATCACCACTTGACAACTACTATGGCCATTACTACACATCTACATCATCCTCATTGACAACAATTACTTTTGCMATCAAATCATCACCATAGCCATCTGGGAAAGTATTTTTATGAATCTATATTCAGATGAACAATAAATATTAAACCATCGTCCTAAATGTACTTAATTTTAAATAGCAAGGTCCATGCCTTGTAGATATCATTTGCCTGTGTTACTGATGAGTGTGTAAATTCTCCCATTAGTTTTCCCTTGAAACATAAAATGAATATAGAGAGATTATTGATGTTGATCTTTGCCATTACTTTGCATTGTCCTCTCATTGTATTCTGATTTCATTTTGGTTCAAACACGTTGAATTTCAAAGAGCTTGACATCAGTGTCATACCAGATGGGTGGATCAATATTCCTATGGTAAAAAAAAAACAACAACAACAACAAAAAAATTATTTTACTGGCAATGAAATTTCTATCATGATATATGGAAGATTATTATCATAATTATAGCACAACAAGCATAATGTTTTTGTGACTAAAAAAAGTTAAAAATCCACAGTTATCCTGACCATACAGCCATACCTGGCCATACAGCCATACCTGGACACACACCCATAATCTGGCCATACCTGGCCATGCACCCTACCTTAGGTAGATGATCCCCCACATGTAMGTACGGAACCACATCTGTGTACCACTATTGGCCTGGAATTGACATTGAAAATCAATACCATAATAATTATGAGAAAAAAATGCAACAACAATTGACATTATACCTGGTACTTTCTKATGAGGATAGGATGTGGTACCGGCAACAAACCAACTAGGGTACCATGTTGAAGAAATTTAATTATTTCAGATTCATCAGTCAAKCCCCTGTGATATAAGATTGTATTATAAGTAATCTTATCTATTTGTATACATATTGTAAAGTCAATGATATCCTAACATACTTGTCAATGCAAATTTTCTCTACTTGAGGAACCAATACTTGTARCATTCTCATGATTGTCTGTAGTGGCAGCTTTTGCTTCCATGACTGAACCTGCACACAACACCAACAAAAATATAAATTAATATAATAACAGCTGATTAATAAATAAAACAATATGTTCACTGCCTCACTTGGCCACTTAATCAATTCACCAACACCTAAAGTACAGACTTCCTTCAATATTGTGAATTATACTACCACTTACCCATTCTGGAGTAGCGACAAATRCCCCTCCAGTACCAAGGGAGGCAGATCTTCCAATGGCTTTTCTCTCCCTTCGTTTTACATTAGGATTTGATCCTGCACTGTGACGTCCCTCAACATCGCTGGTTTCTGATTCACTTCCAGGATGCCGCACTTGTGTTACTGACACTAAATARGAGAAGRTACAGTTTAGTAATACACACATAATAACATATTAGTCAMGATTATTAATACAAAAGCAAACAAGCTCTCAGGAAACCAGACAAACAAACAAAAAGTCACATAACACTTACTGTCCGCTGACATCTCTGGTAGACCGTTAGTAGGGAGCTCTTCATCACTRCAATAAAACAAGGAAGCATTKTTGAGAGACCATCGTTAAGTTACCTTCAAAACATCTATTGTTTCACCTCAATTGGTCTCTTTGATTGACACTGGGTACACTACTCTTTTTCTTGGGTTTTTGGACTGTAGCTGGATCAGTTGGAAGATTTGCAAGCTAAATAAAACATAAATTATAATTTGAGATTTTAATAAGAAGAGAAGGGTAATTCCAACTGTAATTTACCTGATGAAAAATATTTCTTTTCCTAATGATAGCGTAGACAAGATGRGAATTACCTGAAAACATGCACGTCAAATATTATAATATTCATTTTTAGTCTAAAAAAGKCAACTTAGTTTTGTTGTAACATCTAAATTATTCTTTAACTGTACATGTGTAAATGAAGTAAGGGACATGACTTCAGGGAAAGGAGTATTTATACAAAATAACCTATGAACAACAAATGGTGCTAGGTTGTACCAGCTTGTTACAGTACTACTACTTTTATAAAGTTGACATACCATCAAATTGATATTGAATAATATTATTGAAGATTTCTAAGAGGAAGAACACTAGATGGTGRTTTGTTGGGTTGGCAAATAGGAACCATGGCGTTGAAAATGCCTCTARCAAGTGAAGTAGTTTGTTGGCAGCTACCATAGACAATGACTTTAGGTATGGTGATACTGAAAAAGGTCAATAATGTATTAGACAATATCATTTTACAGTGCAAAGCTATGAATGGACAGAATTATTACAGAATTTATACTCTAGCAATGAAGTGAGCTGACACACAAGAAAGCAGAATGAACCAATTTTGTGAACAATGTAAAYAATATGTCTCAAAATGAGTTAATACTTTAAAAATATCATTGTTTCATAATCCATACCATTGACAATGATAGTAAGAAGGCAGTCAAACAGWGGTTGTAATCGTTGATGACCTGTTGTGATKATTTTGTGAAAAACCTWAAAGAGACAATGAYGAATTGAAATAGTTATCAAACACSTAGCWARMTTTTCATATTGTACAAAACAACAMATACATGTACAATATCCTGGCCAATGATTCTAATACTTACAATAACCAGGAAGTCAGCATGTGTACCAGTAAATACTGGTATATCCATAGGAACCCGGACAGAGTATGGTTTATTGAGCCTGACACCTGCAAATATACAGCTTTACAGCATGACTACACCAAGCATATTATATAGGTACCTAATATCAGTCATAGTTTTCAACATCATAATTGTCTTAGTTAGTTATTCTATACTTACCAAAGTTCCTTTCACCACTCAACAACAGCAGAATAAAAACTCCTATATGCATCAGACCAAGACGAGCTACAAMAACATAATAATAGGCAGTTAAAGATAGACATCATTAACAACAATGAACCACCATTGATGTCGTACTTACATTGATCTGATCTAGCATCATTTAGATGGTAAAGTATAGGCACTAAGATATCTAGTACATCACTGCTTTTGAGAACATAAAACAAGAATTTCTATGAAAGAAAGAAAATATAATGACTTATTAGTAAGATTGTAGTAAAAGTATACAAATTATTCAAACAATTCAATAATATCACATTTGTGCAATCACTTATACAGGTTAATGCAATAATTTGATTGTAAAATTGAGTGTACCTTGTTCTGATCACACATCTTCCAAAACAAAATCAACATTTCCTGATGGAAGCTTATCTTTTTGCATGAATTAGGCAARTAAGTCTGAAAACAAAAGTTTGTTTAACCAGAAAGCATGATAAAGTAGATTATATTTTACTGGAGAAATGCACAATTATCACCTGGATTAGAGGATTGTTCAATAGATTTGCCAAGCCATGGAGAATGAAGTGAAAATCCTACAATTCAACATTGTTGACAAACTTTAAAACTATACAGATCGCATTGACATAGTACATTTTTTATAAGAATGACAGCATAACTAATGAACRATAGGTGCATAATCGCAACAAAACTGCTTACTTCTTCTCTGTGAATCCTTGACAGATAATTGCAAAACAAATTGTCTAATGGTTGGCCCTGAGAAGCAAACGTATGGTAAAAATGAGATTTGATCTCAACATTAAATTAATAGGGTGTGGTGTGTTATTATTGATATAAAAGACTATGGTGTGGTTATCCATGATATAACATTGTGTAGTATTGTACCTCTACATCAGGTAGATCAGGTTCAGAAATAGGTTGTTGAGCTACAGCATTATCATGATCTAGAAGGACAACAAGAAGCTGTGCTGCCACCTCAACCAATGGCTCTTTGAAGTCAGTGAACATCAGATGATTATAYCTAGAATATTTACAACATTTTGTCAGCTTAAATTGGCATGAACCATTAAATARTATTCATACTTACGGAACTCCRTAGCCGACAGGGTCATAAGAGCAAACTGTATTGAGAATTGAGGTGAATAGTGGCAGTGCATGCCTAAAAAAACATGATAAGTTAAATGAGGGACTAATTTCAAGGAATTATAAATTATTACCTGTTTTCAGAGGAAGCAAAGTAGCAAAGCCACTTGTTGGGATGGTTGTGATTTTCAGCTAAAAAAACAAAGTTAACAGTTTGAAATGTAATTTAGAGACATACCATAAGTTGGTAATACTTACGAGTAGGTGACAGGTACATTGCCTCTGAGAAACATGTTAAAAGAAGCTTTAAAAGTTCACCACGATTACATTCAAACTGAGGGTTGGTAGGAGGGGATGTTGCAAATCCAACGCCTGCTTCCCATATGTATTCACAACTGTCTATTGATGACAGGTCCTCATGCTGCTCCTAAAAACAACACAACTAATATCAATTTGAGRTTCAAAAACATAAGATGAATTCAAAAATACAYCATGGAATAATTGATTACAGGGCCTGGTGCCTTCTTGCTTGGATGGACTGTGAACTCAGGGCAAAAACATAAGTCCTACAACAAGAAAGATTCAMAATTAAAATAAATATTGCTTTGGTTCAATTAATCCTTTTACACTTACTGCAAGAGCATCTAGTAATGTCTGTGCAAGTGGGGTCTGGCCTTCTGCTCCCTATAAATGAATACAATTGTACAACATTTAGTGTACTTATTACAGTGTATACTAACTATAGTAGAAAGACATTGTAGTACAAAGYGTATAGTTCTGTTGCCCTGGCCTATTGATATACTCTATAAAGAGTACTCACCAAATCACCACCATTGCCCATACCAAGCTCTTCTACATTGACCTGGTAAAAAACATCACCTTWGTAAACATTGCACGGGTACTCCAAGATCACCTTTGTAAATAGTGTATGTATCATTGAAGCACAACAAAAAATGTCATATCATACAATGAATATCATAAATACATGCATGTATGTACAACTAGTTTCAAAAGGTGAGAACTATAATTGGTTCTGTTACTGGTTTTAATTATCTAATTATTTCAAGTTATTTATGCATTATTTAGTAGTGTTTTTTTTTCCTGGTTAAACAATCAGAGAATGGAACTGTGAATAGAAGAATAGTGCTTTTGTGTGTTGTATACCATGCCAAGGTAAAAACTATACAAGAACATTMAGTTGTACATTAATTGGCAAAATAATATGTACCTGTGAGGGGATAGTRGACCAAAAGAAACCTCTCCAGTCTGGGTCCTCAAATATGTACGGAATAAACCTTGTCAGCAGACGAATACAGTTCAAAACTGAAACAATACATTAAATTAAAATCAATATTTTTTATTTTTTTCGATTCTCCATCAATATATAGCAGAATAAATTAGTAGGTTACTATAACAACTTTTCCTCTTTGTTGGCAGCTCAAGAATTTGGTCACATTAATTTAGCTGGTCTCTTGGTGTGGATATAAATATGTAATACCAATATAAATAATTACTGTTTATTTCAAACAATACTTGGCACATATACATGTAGATTATGTAATGAAATTGCTAYCTTTATTTGAAATCATAGACGCCATCTTGCTGGTTCATTGATAAAGACATGGCTGCCAGTCTTTTGTGTTTGAAATGTAAGGGAATGACTAAAGATTGCATACCTTGTAGCTGTTCTTGAGGYGTTGAACATCCTGACAATGTGGCCCTATGAAGCTTATCCACACACTAATAAAAAGGTGGAGAACATATAACGCCACTGCTACAAACATTATACCAAATAACACATGCTAAATGTGAAATAGAAATTTCTAAATGARCTGATGCAAGTGTCAAATGCAATAGTTTACATTCATAAGATCTGATCAACAAACCATTCAATCAGTCAACCATTTTTTCAAAAGATGTGGTGAAAGATATCTACTTAATAAATTCTGTCATACAGATTTGCAAATTTTTGTTTTGACTTCAATAATTAAGTTCCAATTTACACAAAATGTTTATCAATAAACGCTTTCAGACAGCCCTTTGTATTTTCATTTTATAATAGGCTATAAATACAAAAGATGGCACTGAAAAAATCAAACATCACTACAAGCATGAATTATTAATAGTCGAGTAGAATTTTGCACGTGAAGTTTAGTGACATTCTTTAGTAGAGCATGCAGTCAAATTGGCAAATTAAAATCGCAGTTATAAGATCGTACAATTGTTCTTTTTTTTCAGTTCCTTGGATRCTATATCTTATGAGTGTGGAAATATTTTTTTAAATATTGTTTACATATTCTTTGATCTACCTGTATTGCGGTAAGAACTAAAATTTGAAAATGCTTAAAATATTCAATCAATAACTGCTTTGCAAGATATCTTTGTAACACATTGATAAATACACTGAAGAAATACACTGACAATATTAATACCAAGGCACTCCTAATTGAATTTGAACACTGCTATTTCACAATCCAAGGCAATTTTGTAAACAGCTGTTATTTGTGTTGATCGCTTCTAATGTTCCCTCAGAGACTKCAAAATTAAATATACGACTCTACAATTTATGACGGCCATAGATATCAAGTAAATCTTAGAGTAGGAAACTCAGAAAATGTAAAAAACCTTGAGTGCGTGAGATAATGCGAAGAGTAAACAGTGCAGTTTTGAAAGCCGGTCAGGTACTCACCTTACAACACAAAGTCGCTAAATTGGTTGGATTTTCATCACGTAAATTTCTTATTTCTGAAGCAGGTATTAACGTGAAAACATCACTGATTGTGGCAGCGGATTCCGACCAAAACTGGTCCCAAAATGGATCGTCGTTGGCGTCGACAGCCTAAAGGAATAATACCCAGATTAAGGAACAAAACGTCAACCGAACGAGGAACTCTCGACAAAATACTACGCTTATATATATCAAATTTCAGGCAAAGCTGGTTTTGTACGTACAGATTTCTTAGTTGTGAGTTGTACGACGGCTTTTCGGAAGTTCAGCTTGCTGTCTGAGCCTCCCATTTGCAAGCAAAACACATGAAATGTTCACTTTTTCACACAAACTTTATCGTCCGCCATAAACTGCTTTGTTGGCCTTCATTACTAGTACGCATGCTCMAAMYTTTYCSRAMCCMRKTTYCC